GCAGGAAAATGGTATCATATGCTCTCTTAGTATACATCTTTAAAATCTGGATGCATCTCCCACACGCAGCACACCTCCACTGGGAATCGCTGCAGTTCAAGAGTTCAGTGGCACGTGTGGCCTGTGGCCTGCGGCCCACGTGAGATGCTGCGGTTCTAGGACAGAGATGCTTTGGCCAGCTCTAACTCCACCAATCAAGCCTCCCCTGCTGGTGCCTCCACTGCCCTGACTGTGAACCAGAAGCATCCCCAAACTTACCTATGGTTTTGCTGTGAGGTTCAGACAAGCTCCTATGTGAAATTCTGGCCTCCCCATGAAGCCTGCTCCTTGGTAATAATGCCACAAATGCCAGCTACGGACGTTCTTCCGCTTTGTTCTCCAGCAACACGGAGCAGGTACGCAAACCTTAGAGGGTCCCACCACAGAATAGACCCTCGGTGCTGTTCTCGTTATCATTAACTTCATGATAAAGTTAAAAATAACTTCTTCCTCAGAGACAGATTTTTTTCTCTCATAATTAGAGGGGAACTTAAATTCAGATTGCTGATAAGCTATTTTGGGGAGGATAGTAAAACCTGCAGTTTGTACACTCTCCAAAATTGGGACCTGCAGGTGGCGTGGTGGTTGGGTTCCTGGACTCCCATATGGTCAACCATGGTTCGAGTCCTGGAACTGATGACTTGCTTTCTCACTTTCTGTCTCTCTCTCTCTCTGGGAATTTTTTTTTAAATAATAATAATTTATATGATTAAACAAATAATTAAAGAAACTCTCCAAAATCTAAGTAGAATTTTCTGACAAGACAGCCTTATAGCAAACATAATATTGTGTGCAGATATCTCTCCTTCGGACCACTCACAATATCACGGTCACATAATGGAGACAGCAGACTGACAGACCCTAAATAAAATTCTCCAGAGGGCTCTCTCACTTGTTTATGACGTGTGAGTGTCATTAGCCTCGTCAGGTGTCAGGTTTTGTTTGTTTGTTTTCTTCTCTTTACGATAGAAGGTGCACGTGTGCACGCAAGTGTGGGAGAAAGCTCTCCACAGGGTCTCGTCATGCCAAGATCCCCTTTCCCCAGCGCTCCAGCTCCTCAGGTTTCTGGGTGCCAGGGCACCCCGGACCATGCTGGCCCAGGGCCCCAATGGCTGTCACCAGATGGCTTCCCACCGAGGGGGGCCAGGTGTCAGGTTTTCACCTGTCAAAGGAGGCACAGGATTAAGTGTTCGGTGTGATTTGTTCCGTCGGCCTCTGACGGGATCGCAGGAACGCTTTTCTCACCATGTAGCCGTGGTCTCAGAGATAGTGGGCAAGGCGAACTTAACGGTGCTGCGGGCCAGCTCATGGCGCTGCAGCGATTTGCCTGTGTGCGTGCTTGATCTGGTGGTGCGTGCTTGATCTGGTGGAGCGGCATTATTTCATTTCTATAAACCCAATTTCCACAGCTTGTGATTATTCTAAAATGTAAGAATAAGTCACTTCCATCTTTACTACTCTCTTGTTTTGCTAGTAAAATTAATTTTAGCTCTGAAGAGAATAGTACTATTATCGATAGCGCCTTCTCTGGATGACTCTTGATTTTGTTAAGTGTGACATATTTAGAAAAACAATCATCTTTCATTTATTACTAACTCCCCTTCATAGTTACCATCACATTCAAAGCAATGAAATGATACTGCATAATATTAAAATACCTTCGTATTATGCCAAATATCCAGAGTGTTACAGAACCAAATGCATATATGCAGGCCAACAGAACAGTCACCAACCATCCATGTTACTGAGCCCTTGAAATGCAGTTGCGACAACCAAGTAACTGAAGGTTTGATTCCATCTGATTTTAATTCATTTAAATTTAATTAGCTGTATGTAGTTAGTATTAAACTATGCAGATTCAGGTTTTTGTTGTTTTTTGCTCTGCTATAGGGTACATGTACTTGCCAGAGAGACACAGAGACAGAGAGAGCAAGAAGGGGAGAAAGCCCTACCCTGCCTGGGGGGACAGCCATTCTGCAGTCACTTGGCCTCCATTCTCCTCTTGGGATTTCGGACCCACATGCACACACACCTGGTGTGTTTTCTGAGCTGCTAGATCTGGGACTTGAACAGTGGAGCGGGCCATGTGGGACCCAGCTGCCTTAACCTCTATGCCATCTGCTGGCTCACAGATACAGATTTTTACAAATAAGCTGGTCAGTGGTGTCCTCTCACTTTCTCTCTCTCTCGCTCTCTCTCTCTCTTTATTTCTCTGCCAAGTACAAATACCCTATAGTAACACTAAAACAAAAAATAAGTTAGTCAATTATTGGGAGGTTTCTAAGTACTTGACGTATGATCTAGAAATAAAAGTGAGTTTTTCTCCTTTGTTTGCATGCGTTGCATTGTGTCTGAAGATTCCTTTAATCTGAGATTGCTTCTATGACAATCACATTTACATCATGGAGACTCTAATAATTGCAAGACATTATTGCAGGTAATTTATGTACCTTTTCTGAAATCCTCAAACAACCCAGCACAATAAGTGTCATCTTTGCCATTTTACATAAGAATAAACTGAAGCCCCAGAGCAAACTGGTATGGGGTTGTCATTCAAACTAGTTCTAAAAATCTTCAATTCTTGGTTCTTCCAATCCTCATTAATCAATAAAAAGATTTCTTGCAAAAAATAGAAACGTAAGGGTTCTTCCAAGAGCTTATATTTTATAATATGGTAAGAATTACTCTGATGCCGCCTGCGTGGCCGGGCCTGCGCGGCCGGGGCTCTGCTCCGTGTTCCGCTGCCTCTCCGGGGATGGTGTGTGGCCTCCGGTCCTGCGCGTGGCCATCGGGCCTGCACATGGCTGCCGGGCCTGCGCATGGCCCCCCGGGGCCTGTGCGTGGCCGCCGGGCCTGAGGCCATTCACAGACGCCGG